AAATTATTTTGTACATGAGTAAGTATAAAATATTGCAGTAGGTGGGCTTAAAACACATAAGCAATTTAAACTTATTAAGGAGAAAGTTTCTTGTTTCCCAAAAGTTTCATTTTTTGCCTCTTCGCCATTTATTACTAAAACGGTATTTTCTGAAGTTGTGAAGACTAACCTCTTAGCAAATAATTTTTATATTTGTTACTCTTATTTATATTTAAATTCAAGGCAACTTTACAGCTTAATCGTGTATCTCACTTTTATTTATTCTCATTTTTTCAGTTAGATTTTTGCATTTTTTCTCAAATTATAGATACGTGATACGGAATAATTCATCTCACTTGAAAAACTATTATACAAATATAATAGTTATTCCCTATATTAGTTATTAATATAGAAATATAATAGTATATAATAGTTACTCCCTTTCTTCTTACTTGCGCAGTAAAATAGCGAGATAGATGATCGGATTCTATCTCATCCTACTTATTTTTAATGTGTAGTTCAAAATCTAAAATCTGGACTTTAAAACTTCTACTATAATAAAGTAAAGATTCTAACTACTTCAAGATTTCTTTATATTCCATTTATAACAATATTTTCTTCTGTTATTTCTTTATTGGGATCGGGAAAAAAAACACATGTTGAAAATTTTAATATGTTTAGAACCTATAGAAACGAATACCTAAAAATCCTTAATTAAATTAGTATAGAAATCGTATAATTTATAAGAATATTAATAATATATCATTACATGCTTACTATACTCATACACATACACTCACAATATTAGTTTAATTCTATTGTGTATATAATTATCCTCAAATAAAATTCTACTATAAAAATTTTCATATATATATATATAGAGTATTTGTTACCCTAATAAATTTGTGATATTGAAATTTGGATTTCTTTTTAGGGGAATCAAAACCATCATAGTTGACAGACTCTATACCATAATTCAAACCTATTTTGTATTCAAAACTTTTCTTTCAAGCCAATTTATATTTTAGTATACAAATTTTTGTTATTCAAATTTTCGGAAAAAAAAATATATTTATTAGGCTTTTTCCTAAATTATTTATAAATTTTAGTTCTATTTAATCGATCCTTGTGTCAAAGAGAACCCACAATATACTTTTATTTCTAATTCATTTATTTAGTTCAATAAAGTATATTATATATTTGGAAATTTTTATTAAGTAAGTATGTCAATTGCAAATGCATAATAATATTTTTATTGATTTCATTATTGGAAAGGTGTTTATAAAAATATTTATTTATATACCTACATACAAATAGTGTTATTGATGACAATTCATAAGAGTTTAAGTAGAATATCATTATGAATTTTCTATTAAATATGAAATACATTTTCCGATTAATTTTTTGGAAATAATTTCTATACTCGTATAATGAAAGTTTATTGATAGTTGCCAATGAAGTAAAAAAAAAATGTTAAAGAATTTTCTTATATTGGCATAAATTTCAATTTTAATACATCATATGGTTTTTACAGAAATTGCAAAAAACTAAAATGATCATAATTATTGTGAGTAACTGAAATTGTTAAAGTATTAAATTACAATTGGACTTAAATAAAAAAATTAGGGTATCCATCAAATGTTCGAAACAATTGAGAATTAAGTGTTACGTCAATATAGGTCAATTTTTGTATCTTTCTGCCACAATACGAGTATGTAAAATATTTGCAACGAATTCGATGTTGACGGGCAATTTAAAACAAAATCTCAACAGCTATAAGCAAGGGATATAAAACTTGTTTAAGAATTTTGAAATTAGAAATTAGAAACCTAGAAAGTTTATACCTCAATCTCACACAAGTACACTTTTATAACATCATATTGCTGTCATTATTTGCACATACCTACTTATTTCTATTTTTGGTACTTTTAAATTCTTCAAATACTTCACCATTTTCAAAACTAACAAATATTTTTTAATTTCACGAACGAATTATATATATTACAAGTTCATGACCTAATAAAAAACATTATTAAAATAAAATAATTACATTAGTATTCCAAGTGTAAAAGTAAAACTTATTACTTTACGTAAATTTTTAAATATCACAAAGAAAAATGAAGTCAACCTGAAACAAAACCAAAATTAGACCATTTGAAAGATATTTGATAGACTATGATACGAGTATTGAAATTTTGTCAACCACAACAAGTTTTTGGAAGACCAATTTTTTTTCTGTGCTTCAGAAATTTTTATTTCAAAGTAATTGTAACAAAAGAAATATGAAAATGAGGGTCAAAAAAATATTTTATTTTTTTAATACAAGAAAATTGAATTGATAAAAAACATAAAAAAAAAAAACATTTTTGTTAAAATTTAAATTTATGATAGGTCAAATACGTGACTGTCTTAGTATTTACAGTTGAAAGTCTAAATCATTCTATTTACATTATGGAAATTAACTTGAAGCAAATAATACTTTAGTTGATTCTTATTTTAAATTAACCTGTTACAATAGGCATTTTGAACTGTGCTCGAACTTGAACTAGTTATTTATATTTCACATTTTTTTGTGAATTACACGTACATATTGTGCATATTTTAAATAAAATTTCAAAAGAATTATTAAAATTTAAAAATCTCAATCTTCTCATTATCTTTAACCCTACTCTGTTTTTAAAATTTAAACTTTTTAATATCATAAAGAGTAAAATTTCTCGTAAATCACATACAATTTCTTTATAAATATGAAAATTGGCTCATAAATAATATTATGCAGTTTAAAATTAGAATTTTCATTAAAAATTCATGTTAAATTTCTAAAATTAATAAATTTTATTAAAATAAATAAAAACTCTAAAATAATTTTTTTTTAATAAATGTGTATATTTCGTGAGATACTGAATAAATTTAAATTTATAATACCTTCTATCACGTATTCACCTGTGAATTATTTTAATAATGAAATTTTACTAAATTTGCTCATTTAAATAATTGCGTCAATATTTCTGGTCAGAGAGCTTCTAGATGATTTCTAGAATTATAACACTTACTGTAGAATTATTTAAGTCTCAAAAACCTGAGGCGGTTTAAGGGTTTACTCAAATTTTAAAATTTTTGAAAACCATGAGAATCATGCGAATTCCGAAATTAGTAGTATTGAAAATCAGTGTGGTAAAATGAGCAAAACCGTTAGACTAAAATAAATTTTGACATCTTAATTCACATAACAATTTACTTTAGAATGTGAAACAACCATTCAATTTAAATCCAAATTAAGGACATTTTTTAATTATGTTTATCACCTTCAACGTATAGTTAGGAAAATTTACACATTTATTTGCTTATTTAAAACATTTAGATTATGCGTCACTTCTTTATAGTTTGCATATAATTTTACCAAAATTTAATAAAAGAATTTATTCTATTCACGTGTTAAATATTTTCCCTCAATATCTTTCATTAAAAAATTTTAAAAATAATGTAAACTTCATAAAGTTTGAGGAACAATATTGTGACAATATTGTGGAAGAGTAAAATATCAAGTTAAAAACGAAAAAATGTAAAATAATTTTTACATTTTCGTTTAACTTCGTTTTTGTTTTAAATGTTTTTGGAAAAAAGGTTGTTTAATTTACAAATTGGGTTCTTATGAGATCAGAATATTAAATGAATAATATTTAATGAAAATGAAAATTTTGAAATGATTTTAATGATTCGACTTGAAATGTGTTATTTAACAATCATATAATTTATGTATAGCAATACTTTGTAAGTATATTAAAAGTAAATTTTATAACTTTAAATATTTTTTAATTAATTATTTTGATATATTTACACATTTAATTCATTTCTTTGTAACATAAGAATTATGAAGTAGTTAAATTTAGAATTTATTTGCCAATTTTTACAATTTGTACACAAAATGTAATCAGCTCTCAAACCAAAATAGTATCTACATAATACCTGTATTAACTAGTCTTTCGTATTACTTTTATATTAAAGGTCCTTGAAAATGAAAACATTGTAGATCATCTAACATTTTACAAATAGAACACAGAATCTTTTCGAAAACATGGAACAGATTTTTTGTTTCTCCCTAAAAGTATGCAATATCGAAAAATTTAAAAATTTTCAAAGGTTTTGAAGCTAAAGATGAGAAAAATCAAGAAGAGAAAGGAAAACGTTGAAAAGAGTTTTTTTGTGTTATTTTATGTTAGTTTCACACTCGTCGGCACCTCCGCTGCTTTATTTCCTTTCACGTCCACGTAGCCTGACACTTAGCACAGAATGACTTGCTTGCGCCCACCCAATTCGGAGGATGCCGAAAATGGATTTAGCGTTCCGATGTCAGCCCGGCTATGCGACATAATCATTATATCCTCTCACCGATATCATCGTTCTTGGCTAAATTGCACGTATAATGGCGTGCATTTTAGCCTTAAAAACGTGCTCGGAAACATGCTCGGAAAATCGGAATCACCATAGATTCGAATTTGATTCTTGGCCCAAACGACCACGCACGCGTTTTTGATCCCAAATTGGTCTTTGACCCATAAGTGTGCCACATGATGGTGGTACTCACTGGGTAACACAGAAATCCGCAGTCACAATTCCTTCTGTTACTAAGCTACAAGATGAAATTTTTCTCAAAGCATTACCCCCTTACCATGTTGATGATGACTTATTATTTAGTTTACCCTTAAGTTTGATTACGGCATCCAATTTTCATTTATAATTATAAAAAAAAAAAACTGGTCATTTTTTTCCAAGAACAAGAAAACAGATTGAAATTTTTTTTTATCTCCTATAAAATTTACAATGATTTCCAATAACAAAGAGCCTCTTAAGAGCGAAAGTTTTTATTAAAAATTTTATTATAATGTTGATAAATATTTTTTCAATTAATTTTTTGTATTTCAATTATTATGAAAAAATTGTCATATTGTTAAAATTATTTTGATTTTTATAAAAAAGTAGTCATTGATTTAAAAACAAATTTTTTTTTTTTATAATTTCAGAGTTCGAGTAGAATACTATGTTAATGAAAATACATTTAAAGAAAGACTGCAACTTTATTTCATTAAGAATCAGAGATCAAGTAAGTTTTAAAAATTTTATTTTTCAAACTTTTATTAAAATATTTTTTTATTATCCAATATTTCCTAATGCCTCAATATAATTTTAATTTTTTAGGCCTAAGAATACGAATAGCTGATTTGTTTTTTAAATTATTAACATGTGTTCTGTACATAGTTCGTGTGATAACAGATATAAACCCAACATTTGCAACATGGTAAATAATTTAAATCATCTTAATATTTAGAGCAATAGTGACATTTAATCAAAAAATAATTCAATGAAAAATTTAAAAGAAATTCATTTTATATTTTTATTATATGATTTTTTTTGTTTTATTTTGTAAAATCATTATAGTTCGGGTTGCTCACCCAATAATAAATCGGAATTTTTAGCATCAGCAAAATTAACTGAAGAAGCATTTCAGGAAAATCCTATAATTAATTGGGATGCAATATTATGGGTTAATCGACCAACCGTACTTTGGGCTGTACAATTAATTTTAGCATTAGTTTCATTAACCGAAGCACTTCTTTTAACATATCTAGGTTATAAGGTAAAATATAAAATTTTTTATTTTTATATTTTTTTAACAGCATATTTGACAATATCAAAAGATTAAAATTGAGTCCTAACAAATGAAATTACTCAATGAATATTAATTAAAAATTTTCAATTATCTAAATAAATTGGACTAGGGATGATAGAATTCTCGCCCGAATCTAAAACTATTGAAATACGTGAATTAAAATCAATTTACAGAGAATTCTAGAACCTTCATGTATTTCAATTATAAAATTTTCAGGAAAATATATTGCATAATCCTTTCTATTTCTGCAATTTCTAATATGTTTAAAATAAAATACGTTTTCGTATTAAATCCAGAAATCGAAATTTAAAAATTGTTCCTCTTTATTTCTAAACAGTTTCCCCATAATCCTTTATATAAAGGTTAAATTTATTATTTAAAATTAAATTTTAATTTTATATGTAATTAGCTAGTTCATTCATTAAACTCTTTTTCACAAAATTTTCCTAAACTAATTTAAATTTGCTGCTTTTTTACAAACGTGAAAAAATATGTTAGGGAATATAAAATTATTCTGAAATTTAGGTAAATTCAATTATCTAAAAAATAACATTTCCAAAAATGACTTTAAACTATAAAGCATGTGTCTCTCTAATATTAACGTTATAACAACACAGCGGTTCCATATATTTATGATAACATGCATGTATATGTAGCTCTGAAATATATAGGTTAACATATAGCGTATTTGTACTCGTGTGTTCATTATTATTTTTACATAATTCCTTGTTGTACATTATGTTCTTCTTTGATCTCAGTAAATTATGGAAAATTTTGAAAAAAAAAAAATGTTAAGTCAATCATTTTGAAATCAAAGTTTAATTAGAAATTTAATTAAAATTTGAAAGTTTTTTTTTTCTACTATATGGAAACTTATTAAATAAAAAATGTGGCATTATAGAGAAGGCAATTAACTAATTAGTTTTTCTTGTCAAAAACGCTATTTACACACACAATATTTATATAAGCGTTGCCACTACATTTTTATTTCGCTGTAAATGCGATATCGTTGATTTTAGTGGATATGAAGCTAAAAAAATTTCAGTTATAATACAAGAATAAAAATTATTTTAATTAGAAATTTTGGAAATAAAAAATCATCAATTTCTATTTGAAAATTGAAACTGAGTCTTGAGGATTTTATTCCATTTGATATTTTGTGTAAAAACCTCCTGTCAACAAAATTTCAATACGATATAATTTTAAAAAATGATCTGTAGTTGCTAAACAGTGCCGCATTATTGCAGTTTTTATATAATTTCTCCACTCTTGGTGTAAAAAATTCAGAATAAAATTCTTGTTATTAATATTGTAATTAATATAAATAATTAAAAACAATTCTGTGGCAACAAGCATAAATAACTTAAGTCTATGTAAGTGATTTCGAGATAAATTAATTTAAAACTTTAATTCAATTTAAAAATAAATTTTGAGAAAAGTTATATAGTTATTTGATCCGATTTTTACCATCCGTTTTAGGTATACAATAGGTAGGTTATGTGATGGCAACAAATTTTGCATATCAAGTTTTCGGTGCCATGGTGGGGAAGTGCAAATAAACTATTTTTAGCAACCTGTCGGCCTGTGTGTGTACGTTTCTTTCGACGGTACGCGAAACCTCCTAACTTTTGGAAGAAATCAAGCGTCAGCAACTGGACGTTTACTACGAGCCAAATATATATATTTGCGTATATAAATAGAAATAATCAACCGCTTTCATTGAAGTTTAATATTTAATTTCTTCGTATTGAAATAATCAAATTTTTTGGAAAGATTAGGGCTCGAAAACTGATCTGAGAACCGATTTTACTTTTTTTTACCATATCTACGGAACAAATTGACGGAATTTCTTGAAATTTGATATTTGAGTTCTGGTTGTTACCGAAACTAACTGGCGAGCATTTCAAGAAATTCGGGTAGCACAAAGCGAAACTCTACTAAGAGCCAAATTTGTATTTTTCTAGGTATGTTCTAGGTAACTAGGCTTACTAATGCCTTTAAAATATTCTGTAATACTTTTATTTTACTAAGCAATACATATTGCGGTCGGTTATGTCCCGACCACATCAAAAATTTTTTTTAAACGTAAGATTATTAAAAACAAGCGATCAGCTCATAATCTGATCTAAAATAGTAGCTTCATTATTATGGAAAAAGTGAGATATAAGTTTATAAAAAAGCATTTCACAAAACTCATTCCGACTTAAGCGATTTGTGAAAAATCACTTTTGTATTTCCGTCAAATTCATGTCGACTTAAGCTGTTGTTGCAAACGTGGTTTTAGGTGACTTAAGTTATATTGAAAAATCATTTATCTCAAGTTAGTATATTTGAATAAACTGAAAATTAATCTTGCAATAAAAGCTTAACTCGACATAAGCGGTTATAAAAATTCATACATATTACAACATTTGTCACTAATTTTGCCTTGTAGTAAGAATGTACCTCGAAATAAGTGGATTATATAGAAAACATAAATAAGAAGTTTACTGTTCTTAATTCAAATTTAGGTGATTATTGTAATTTATTTATAATTTTGAATTAGGCGATGTGCACACTTGACAAGTGTTGCGGTTACAACAGTCGCAGAACTACCAAAATTTGTGAACATATAGAACGCAAAACGGAGAATTTTCTTGTACACATATTTCATTTTTGTCTTAACTCGAGATAGGCAGTTTGTGTTTGTGGCCACTGAATTTATAACTAACTATTTGGGGAAAGAATTGAGTTGAAAATATTTTTTAAAGCAAAACGTTTAGCCATATTTTTTGGAGTAAAAACAAGAGTTTCAAAATATTAAAGAATAGAAAAAAAAATTGACTCTTATTAAAAATTTAGTACTTTTACCCATAAACTTAAAATCAATAAAACCCAAAACTTTGGTACATTCTACAAAACACCTGTCTTTGTATGCTTAAGAAAAATATTATTTTTACAAGAAACCCTCATTATTTTTTTTCTTATTGTTTTAAACCCTTTTGAACAATATTAAAAGGATATTGAATTGGGTCATTTGCCCCCAAATAAGAAAATAGCCTTAGGTCAATTAAATGAATTTGTTAGACCAATTATAAGTGAAAATAAATTTAAAATAATTTTTTTTTTATTTTCGAAAATTTCTAAAATTCTTCGACACAAAATTATTTCTCATTGTTAATATTATACTTATATATATATATACATATTTCTTTTATCTATTTTAATAGGGTAATATATGGCAACAAATACTATCATTTCATTTTATATTAGAATTAGTAACGACAATACCATTTGCTCTTACGGTAAGTTATTTTTTATTTTTTCATTATATTATTTATTATACAAACCACAATTATTATATAATATGTACGTATAATTAAGTATAGAAAGAAAAAGTTTTACAAACACAATTTTCTACTTAAAATTTTACTCAATTTAATATAAAGTGTTATTCAATTTGTTCAAAACGGGGCATAGTTTGTTAATTGAAACAGGTTTAAGAGCAAGTTCGAAATCAATGCTTCTAAGTTTATAAAGAAACATTTTTTACTCAGTTTTCAATAATATAAAAAAAAGCATGCTAATAATGCTAAAGAACTTGAATTTGATACAATCTAAGGTTCAATATTCTTTCAATTATTTTCCTTCAAATACAAACTAATCATAGTGTGATTCTCATTACATTTAAAGGAAGAACTTCTTTATTTAAGCAAAATTAGTTTTAAAAATTAATCGCAAATTTCTTATCTATATTATTTCAAACTCTTATAAGTGACATACTAAAAATTTCTGTAATTTTAAAGCCTCACATAATATTCTGAAACTATAAGATGATTGCTTATTTTCAAAAAATATTTAATATTCAAAATTTATGTAACACAATTATCTTTAAATTTTCAAAAGCGACAAATTATTAATAGCAATCCGTGAACGAATAACAATTTTTATGTACATCAAAATATTTTTTATATACTACAAAATACATATAAACTAGACAAAATCATATGTACAGGATGTTTTGACTAAGGTGACAAATAATTTCAGGGTTGATTCTTTGGTCTAATTGGAGGAAAAAACTTAATTTGGTGCGAGAGAGGTGAGACGGGGTAGATACACCAGTTTTCGAGGTACAGCCTGTCCGAAAAAAAAGTACCAGATTTTTCTTGAATACAAATGATTGTTTATTACTTCGAAACTCGAAGTAATAAACTGTAACGATTGTAAAATACTCGAAAATTTGCGTTATTATTTTTTTTTGTTTTTTCTTTTTCGTGGATGCACTACAATAATAGGATCTAAAAGTTAATCCATATAACATTTTTCTCTATATCTCACAGTTTAAACAGCAAAACGGGCACATTTAAACCCCACCCCTCCCATACAATTTTTAGCTGGGAATTGATCAAAGAATCATCCCTGAAATTATTTGCCAGCATTTTCAAAACACTCTGTATATAATTATATATAAATAAAATTTATTTCTTATTGTTATTTTCCCATTTTTATTTACTTAGATATTATGGCCGCCGTTAAGGAATCTTTTCATACCAGTTTTTCTAAATTGCTGGCTAGCGAAAAGATCATTAGAAAATATGTTCGTAAGTATTAAAATTTATATATAAATTTTCACACAGATCTAATTTAATTATTTATATGTGTATTCATGAAAATTGTAACGCATAACAATATTGTACATAATGTAAATATTTTTTATTATTTATATTTTTATGTTACATGCACATAGGTACTGTATATTTACAGACAGATACCTTGCATATAACATATGGTACATAGTTTCGAACTTGTACAATTTATATACATAAAAAAAATCAATATTAATTTTATATATAACTTATTACATACGTTCGCCGTAGCGATATAGATAATATTCCTTTTATTCCATATATCTAAGTTTATATTATGTATATCTATAATATTGTATATGCCTATATGTATGTGTTCATTTATCTTTTAAAATGTACCTTTTGTATAGTAGGAATATAAATTGTAAAATTATGTTATGGTCATTTCAAATAAATTTTGTTTTCCTTCTTTTCTATGTAAACTAAAAAATTTATTGATATACACAACTAAGGGTAAAATAAGTAAAATAAAAAAACAAACCAAATAAAAAATACTAGCAGGATAATGATTTTATAAAGGAAAGTCTGATGCATTTAAAATTGGAATTTGAGTTGTACTTCAATTTTGTATACAATGAATAGAAGCAGAGTGTAGAAAATTGTTGTTATACCGCAACAAAACCTAGTTTTTCTTGACACAACTTTAAATTAAGTGTAGGTATACTCATTGTATATGTACATAGAGTAGCAGTAGGTTACAGTTAAAATTTTTACCTTTTGATTCACATTGAAAATACCATAATGCAATACATAACAATTTTTTGTAAGAACATGTCCTTTATAAAGGCGAAAAACAATCAATTTCATTCAATAGTCCTATAATGTTCTCAATATTTAAATTTTTAAGGAAGGAATCATTTTCTTCATATTCTTTATATTCTTATAATATTAACGCTTATGATTTCTTATCATTCTCAACTAATCAACGGATTCTGAAGAGTTAATAACGTAAAATATTTAAAGTAAATATTTTTGATTACCTAATTTAAAATGATCAACAGATGTCAATTAATTTTCGTGGCAATTTTCCGAAAAATCAATTGATTTATTCTTCAAAAATCAAAAACGCAATTTACTACTGGAAAACTCTTACAAAAATTTAATTTGAATTTATATGCACAACAACAATGGGAAGAACATATTAAGGACCAAAATTCAGTTTATTCTGAAAATCTAACTAAAGTGTATTTCAATATTTTTAAACAAAATTTATAATCGTAAGTAGGATGCATAAGACATGTTATCCTCAGTTTTTATTGAACTATCTTTATTCTGTTATACGCTCTAACTCAAACATACAACTCATGTTTAATAACTTTTTCTTAACAATTCCCAACTAGTTACACATAATCATATTTTCCACTACAATTTTAAAATCATCTCAATTTCTTATTGTTATACTGTACATAGTAGATCTAATCATCACAGACCAATTCACAGAGAGAAAGAAAAGTAATAATATTTTGGCAATAATCATTTATTTAAAAAAAAAAAACTTTGCAAATAAAATATTGCTATTTTCGCTATAAATAGTTGAAAGATCTGTGAAGATTTCTTTTTGAGATGAGATTTTAATGCAATACTAAAACTATAAAGAATATATTAAATATATTGTATGCTTTAAAAATGTATAAAAAGCGACAAAAACAATTATGTGACAAGAATTCATTGACATTGTTATTACTTTTTATATTTTTTTGTGTGCTTACTATCACACTGCATACATTCTCTATGTATAATTGAAATAAAACAACATATTTTTTTGTATCCTTTTTATTTTTCTCAAAAAGTAGAAAAGATTTTAAAAAAAGGGATTCAATATTTTTATTTTTGTTTCTCGACAATCAAATTAAACCCCACAAATTATAAATGACGTGCGATTTATATAGACAAGTATATTTGTATTTTATTTGTATATATATAAATATATATATATATATATATATATATATATATATATATGCATGTACGTTAAAGGACATTCAATGACCTGAATGAATACAATGTAAAAGAGATGAAAATATATTATAGACTCTTAAAAATCGATTGAGCATTAAATTGTGATTAAAGACTTAAATTTAAAAAAAAAAGTTACAATTATGCTTAGAAAGCCGAAGTAAATAGTAGGAGAGGATCATATTTATTTTTCAAAATTAATATTTTAGCCTAACTGTATGCAATATTTTAAATTATTTTAAATTTAAATAATTACTGAAACAAATGTTGGAAAAGTATTGCCAACATTAATAAAAGTGTTATCAGATGTGCTGTATATGCAAATATTTTTGCATTCAAAAATATTCAATTTGTTCTATGAATCTGGGAATATTTTGAGTGAATGGGTTACTACACAAGAAAAAAATGGGTTACTATACAAGAGTAATGCATTTTATATATTTTTATGCACATTAAACATATTTCTTTCACTAAGCACGAAAAAATTTACTATATACTTCTATTTTGATTCTATTTAAATTCGAATGCATAATAATTTCTTATAACCTCCTTATTTTATGTAATCTAGTGCAGTCAATTGCTCTTACAAATAATTGATGCCCATGAAATTTCAATTATATTAAACTTAATGGTGCCTCATGGATTGTTGCCTTATAGATAATGTCTTTTGTATAAATTAACTGTTGCTTAAACTTTAATTTTGACATCAAAAAAATCTGAAATTATACCAAAAAATCTTAAATAATTTATTATTAACTATACCATTACTACACTATAGTTATTTTCGAATTGCAGTATAATGCATCGCTCCATTAAGAGTTAATTATTATTTACTGTACAATTTACAAGGGATTATTTACTATTAATCATGTAAAATAAACCAAGTTATCTTACAATCATATTTGTAGAAGCAGTCCGAAGTCAGCTATAAAATTAACGATGTGATAATTAAATATACCATGTGCAACTTTATTTTAAAAGCTAGAATACATTACACATACTATGTGTATTAATTAGATAAATTGCAAAAATGGGTTCGAAAATTTTGAATTTTAATTGTTAAATACAAATATAAATTTTTTGAAGAGCATTTGACTGCGTATAAATACACCTAAATTAAATTTTGATTGAAAATTTTTCCCTTATAATTTTTGAATTTCATTTATATGATCTACGTATATATTTTCATATATTAAGTACTATTAATCTGTTAACAATTCTATTCTCTTAATTTTGACTTATTATTGAATTTAACAGTATTATGAATAATTTTGCTATCAAGTCTTTCATATTTTCATATACATAAGTTGCTTAATCAAAACATTAACAAAATCATTATTCTCACTCACATTACAGCACTTGAATCATTTTACACTTTAGTTATTAAAAATTTAATGTGATTGAAAAAATTAATAACTAAATTTTCCATTTCATCTTTGAATTGTCTAACGACTTGAGATTATTAAGGTAATAAACTAAAACAATTAACAAAAAAAAAAAAAACAAAAATTTACTCGCTTAAATTTACACTCTTTTATTATTTCTTAAGTTTTTTAATCCTTCTTATATACTTATTATACACATTATATAATATCTAAAACAAAAGCTTGTAAACAAAATTTTTATCATGCAAAGAACTTTTATGCTTTTTTCATATTATTAAAAAAATGCTATTAAATTTAGACTAAGGATAACGAGTTGCTAAATTTCTTCTTAATAGAATGGAAATTTAATATTTTGAATTTTATAGCTTTAAGCACTCATTATGTTGTTGCCATTTTGTGAAAATTTCACAATTTAAAAACACTTTAATAAATATATTAGCCCTCTAATAATAGCATATATTAGCTTTTGAAAAATTGACTACTCTGTTTACAAGATTATTAAAAGTTTCAAGTATTTACTTGATTATACTGAAACGAATTTGTTTTATGAGTTATTATAAAAATTTTGTTTAGAGGAGCCAAACGTTAATCAATAACATTGTAAAACTCATGAGGGTAAAACATAAAACTCAGGCATTGAGTTTAGACATAGAATTGAATGGATTAACTAAAATATTTGATTAATAATGCTTTCGACTTTGATCTTGGAATTTTGTTAGCATGTATTTATTGTTTTCTTTTCCTGCACTGTGTAGTGGTTCAAAATTGTCCGATGTATTGACTTAATTCGGCCTTTTTGAAATCAAATTCTTTTTAATATTAATTTTATCTACTTCTAAATTATTTAAATTCTAAACAATATTTTATTTACAACATTATTGGATAAAATCTAAAGTAAAGGCATTGACTGAGTGCTTGTGGAAAGGATTACGCCTTTAGAATATAGGTTTTTATATTCGACGTGCAAAACCAATATTTTAAAATTTTCGTAAATTAGCTTTTTGAAAATAAAACTTAATTCGAATAATTTTAAAAAGTGATGTGTGTATCATATACGAGTATCTTATAATTTCTGAACAACAGTCAACAGAAAACTGAGTTTGCTTTTCCAATTATTGTGTAAGAACTAAATATTCTCTTATATTAATTGTTTTACATTAAATCAGTCGTGTGCAAAGAGCAGCCCATTCAACTTCGAAATGCGGCCCAACTTTCTGCTTCCAAGATAAGTAATTGTCAATTTTTTAATAACATAAAATTTCATACAAATTTATTATTAGTCAGTTGAAAATGTGTCTTCTTCTTGTAAGTAGATAATGTAAGAAACTAGAGAGGCTCATACTCATGCTCAAATAGTACACATTATTTGTCCTCAACCCCAAAAGTTTGCCGAAAGTTTCCTCAAATGAATATATATTTGTTATATTTTTCCAACAAATTCCAAAGAATAATTGTTTCTATAAATCAACTATAAAATTGTATGGCTTACCGCATACATATACTAAAATACTGCTATAAATTGACTTCGAAAATCATTTAATTTAGAAAACCAATGAAACCAAAGTAAATATACAGTTAGATTGAAAGGATAAATTAATAATATTACTTCATTAGATTTGGAATTCTTTATTAATCAATGAAAAATATTGATAGTTGATTAGTTTTTATTGATTTTACATAATATTAACCGCACACTGTTTACAGCCACATAAACCATTTTGAAATTTTAAATAAATTATAACCAAAGCCCTTACAAAATTAATGAAATCTTGGTTTTACTTAAGGATAAAAGAAATTAAATTAAGGATAACTGTTACGGAATTAATAATTCCAATAATTTCAATAAAGGCTTATATTAAATGAAAATAACTTTACGTCCACGATGTTTCTTTTAAAACTGGGCACTATAATTTTTTATGAAAAAGAAAATTTAATCATTCATATACTTATACCATTTTAAATACGTTAATTTAGAATTTGGAGAAATGTAAGCGTGAGTCAGAAAAATTTAATTGGTTTAAAAATATTGGACCCATGATTGTATGGTCCAGAGGCCTTACTATGTAATTTGATTTTCAAATTCGGAAAAATGATAAGGTAGTACCAATAAATTTCTATAGTACCCCCTTTTCATTTCGCAAACACGAAAATCGAATTGAATATTAAGGTCTCAGGTTTAAATATTTTGCTTTCACAAAATTCTTCGTTTACTTCACTATTAAAACTATATGCTCAATAACTGATTCAATATTACCATGACGAAATTCACTCTTGATGATCTAAAAAATAGGAATATCTACTCTATGTTGTACCTTTGTTGAACTCAAACCGATTTCCATCTGTGCCATTGCATTTTCTTTATTACGCAGTCGTACATTAAGCCTATGAATAACTGTTTTCATAATAAAGTTTTATAAAACACACAATGTAAAAAAAAATTAGCCTGACTGATGAGAGACTTTGAAATTTTTCAAACTGACTGACAATTGACACTGTCTGAAAATAACAATAACTTTTAAAAAATTTCCATTTTTAAGCTCCAAATAATTTAAAAAAAATTTCTTTAAAAAAAAATGATGAAAAAATAATGATGTTTTTAATTATTAATAAAAATTTTCATATTTTTATGAATTAAAAGCATGAAATAAGAAAAAAAAAAGAATAAATGGATTCACTATTTTTCACCTTAAAAATTCTCTTTGTCTTTGCTGTTTTCGCTTTTAAACGTATACAGAAATAAAATTTTAATTGCAGAATGCTTCAATTTAAAAATGAAAAGATGAAAAAAAAAAATTTTTTTTATTGTGTGAGCTTTTTTTTTGTTTTACATTTTTATTCAACCAAAAAAAAATCGTAAATAAAATGAAAAAACTTTAATAATTCTAATGGAAAAAAAAAAAATTATTTAATGGACGCTTTAAATTTTGTCCAACTTTAAACTTATCGATGTGTGTTAAAAGACTTTTTTATATGAAACTATATTTGTATAAAATATTTTTTTGTTTTTCTAGATTTTTACTTAATTTCTACTTAAATTTTGTATTATATTTTCTCATATTAAAAAAAGTCACTTATAATATTCTTTTCCATTTTATTTTCATTTTCAAATCGAAACGAAATAAACTTATAGAACGATCTTCATCGTGCCATGCAAAAATCTCAGTCAGCCTTATCCCAGCAACTGACAATATTGTCAGCAACTTTATTATGTTTAGTGTTTACAAGGTAAGTAAATTTTTGTCAAGTAGATAATAATAAAGAGTAAAATAAAGAGTAAAATGAAAAGATAAAATATTTGTAATTATACAGAGTTTTTTTCATATGTATACAAAATTTAATATTGTGAATAAATATTTTTTTTATGGGCTGGTAGTAAATTGTGATATGGATGCTTCCTATTATCTTATGGCAAACGGAAAAAATGAAAATAATATTATTATAACAACGAAAAGAGTATGAAATGAGTTTATATTCTGAATACAGTATAATCAAAATTATATAAATTAAAAATCTCGGAAAATGGAATGAAAGGGATCTCATATAAACTTTAAGACACTAATTCAAATGCTCATTTAATTAGTCTTCAATTAATACGACACAGATATAAGCAATATATATATACATTTTTTCGTACGCTTTCTCTTTCTCATACACATTAAATTATAACTGGAAGCGCTTTAGATCAATGATAGGTTTTCTGGGGAATCATGTGAAAATTCACACGGTTTTTTTTGACGGGACACTGCAGCATTAAAAAACATATAAGCAAATTGGGCTTAGAGACTGACAGGTCTTACAGGTACTGTTCAGAGTGAAAGGAGACTCCGATGCACCTTCTCTATGAGTGTTCAGCGTTGTCAATAAAAGAAGAGACAGCTTGGACGAATCCTTGCCGGTGAGAAATTCGCCATGCCGTTCTGATATATTTCCCCAGAAAAGTTGCTCGGACTCATCAAAAACGTGTGTCGCAAGTGATGCTGTAGAACTCTAAAGCACTTTAGGCTCGTGGCGGGCAGGAAGGCACAATAGATCTTTTAGGTCGCGGGGTATCATCGCGCCTCATTCTACAATCTACATTTACATTCACACATTTAATTTTTTAAACATTCAAAATTTTTTTACTTTTCAATAATCGGGCATTCGTTCATATAAAAAAACAGCCTACAGAACATATTTTTGCATTTGTGTAAATAAGCTTTTTCTCTTGTACATTACATTATTGCCGTGAGTCTACTACAGTTTTCATACAACTATATTATTAAGTACAAAATGACTATAATATTATGTACAATAAAAGCTATTCATTTTTATATATGAAAAATGAATTTTTTTACAATGTTTTTTGGATAAAACCAAGCCAGTTTTTGTCAATAATCTAACAAAATTCAACACAATTTCAACAGTTCCAAGATGGTCACTCAAAATCAAGAAAAAATCATTTATAACAGCCCATTTGAACTGAGAAACTTATTCTTACAAAATTTTTCTTACAAACTTATTCTTACAATGCTTTGGATCGTTAAAAGTTTCTTGTACAAGCCAAAATGTTATTTTGTTGTACAAGTTCTTATATTCTCCCAATAGATAAATAACAATCATTTAAAAACTTTATTATCAATATATTTCGAAATGTAGGTCAAATTTTTTCAATTAATTAAATATCAAACAATATATTTAAAATTATACACATGAACTTTTGGGTTATGGAAACTCAATTCCCTGAATTAATTCAATAAATTTTCACGAAAGTTTTTAAAGTTCACAAAAAAAAAACAAAAAATGGTCGAAATAAAAATTCAATCGGAAAAAATTATTTTGTTTCCTTAAAAATTTCGAAATGTTTATAAAGTTTATAATAAAAATAAAATTTGATAAAAATTTTAACCCATTAACAAAATGAATTCAATGAACTCTTTATAGATATATAATTTCGATTTCATTAACACATTAACAAAGAAAAACCTATTGAACCAACCTACACATTTAAACCAATAAAAAAAAGTTCAATGATCACATTTTTTTCAAACAAAGAAAATACCTATATGGGCTCAATGTAGACATTTTGTAAAAAAAATAGGTGATTTTCAGCATTATTAATTTTTTTTTTCTTTTGATAAACGAAATTGATATATTGTGAGTGCTATGTGCTATACAGAAATATATTTTGGTTCAGATATGCCAATTGAATTGCAAACATGTTTGTATACGGTTTGGAATTCTTGAACAAAAACTTTATTAAATAGAATAATGGTAAAGGATACAAAACCAAAAGAAAAAATATCAAAAAAAAGAGAGAAATGGATTCATTTTGTTCTTTCTTCTTCTGAATAAAAATGAATATTTCCCTTGACAGGAGATTCTCATTATTGAGAATTTTATTATTTTATTTTTCTTATTGCGATATGTTGCTACGAAAATTACGCCTATATATAGGCAAAAATAAAGAATTTATACATTACACTTGTACTTACGTATGTAATATGTTTTTTTTTGGTAAATGTTTATAGAAAAGCATTCGTACGTATGTAAACATAAATAAAATGCTGACTTGTAATGAAAAAATCTATTATAAACTTGGGGATTTCCTAAGGTTTAAATCATCTTTTTCGTACACATGTACACATTAAAGTATATTATATAATATAAAATTGCAAAAATGTTATCTATCTAATCTTTCGAGTCTTTGGTGAAAAATAAATTTATTTGTTTATTTTTTTCTGTAATATTATTAAAAACCAATTTCTTGATTTCTCTTTTATTTTCTAAGATAGACTAAATATGTATTTTCCGAAATTCTAACAAAATTACATTGCCAATGATTTATTTATTAAAAAAAAATATAGAATTTTGTTAAATTTAATTGAATATTAAATGTGAAAATTTCAATTTTTTTATAGTGTATGCGGAATTCAACATTTCCAGCGGGCTGGACATCGTCATTTAAATTTATTCCAAAGTACATATTATGTTGTTGTAACATTTTCTACAGTTGGTTATGGAGATTTTGTTCCTGATATTTGGCCTTCACAACTTTATATGGTGATAATGATTTGTGTAGCATTAATAGTATTACCAACACAGGTAAGAAAAAATGAAATTAATTTTTTTTTTTGTTTTGAATTTTTTTTTATTTCTCTTGACAATCTGAATTCAAATGTTACGATCAAAATGTGTGTAACAGACGAATGTTATACACATTTTGATTGAAACATTTTATTTGTGAAATCAAATAAAATAAATAAGACGCTTCAGTCGGTCTAAATCGACTAAATTTATGTCTGGCACCTTGCCAATCTTACAAAAATTCCTTATAAAAATCTTTATTAGTTTTTGAAATATTTAAACTAGTTTATTAGAGTTGTACGGCAGCAGTCTGAACCCATTGTTAGCCCGAAAAAGAGTAGCCGGCCTTCGCAGAAAAGAAACGATTTGTAAAATTGTAGCGTTTTTTGCTTTATTCTATTTTAAATTATCGGGCGGACGGACAGACATGTTTAAATCAACGCAAAATTTTTGCGCTGAACAGGAACATGTATGTATGTTTATACCAGAGACTACTCCTTTAAATGACTGCAAACTCCATACCAAAGTTTATATACCCACTACAAAAGTGCAGGCTATAAAATTGAATTTATTATGTTGGGCTATTAAAACTTACATAAAAAAGCCAACCATTTTAAGAAAGTACTAATCTGGACAATATGGAAACAATCACCGTTACTTTTAAACTGATTTTAATATTAATAAAAGAAAAAGCCCACGTATATCACTAAAATTCGTTTTGACGTGACATATCCCATTGTTTTATAAAGAATGCCGTACTGATGGTTAAAAATTCCTTCAATTGAAATAATTTACTACAAATATGCCAAATAGATGGTGGCAACCGACAAAACCTGTTTTTACCTTAAATGAACATTTCTTATAACTATTTTGATTGCAATTGTTACAAATTCTTATTGCATCTAGTCCTGCACTTACATATACAGAAATTAAAATATTTAATAAAAATCACCACTTTCAATGTAATTATGGTATCACTTGCTTCACACGGCATTTGAATTACACTAATTTCCGGTAACATAAAATACACATAAACACCCTTTTCAATAATATTTGAAAAAATAAGTTGAATGTTATAATGTTATAAAAATAAAAAATAAACCTATAAAATACTGTTTTATATAAATTTATTTTCATAGCAATTGTAAATAAATGTAGCGTATCTCTATAAGCTTTATAGGTATTATGGGAATATTGTAGGAAAATATTTATGGGTATAACAGCGGTTATTGCCCTTAAATGAAAATTTGCCATTATGTAGAAATTAATTCATTTTTATTTTTAAATGTTCTCATATATTAGAACCTTCTTTTTGTTATATATAAAAAAAATGTTTAGTTGTAGGAGAGGATTTTCATCTGAAGAACTTTCTATTGAAATTAACTTTTTAAATTTATTTAAATAAAATTTAATAAAATAGAATTTAAATTATTTTTAAATAATAATAATAAAATATGAATAAAAATGAATGCCTTCAACGCCATTTTCCATTCCATTTATGAAATAATAAAAGACTCTGAACTAATTTTTGTGTAAATCTATAAATTTTCATTCTGAATTTAATTGAAACATTAAAGTATAACTAAAGGTAAACAATAATTTTTTAATATCATTGATATTTAATTATTACACATATTAACCCATTCCTGATGTACTGCGAGAGGTATTAATCCAGGAAAACGTATTTTTTCTAATGTAAAAGTCATGATTCGGCCAAAAGATATTTGTGCAATTATCTTTTGCCTGAGTTTCACGAAATGAAAGCGAATTTTAGATAACTTTCACTCAATTTCTGCAAAGTTTTTCATTACAAGTATTCTAATGTACTTTTGAAAAAACAATGTACCTTTTTTTTATTTTTTTAGTTTTCTCTAACCTGATTATTTCGTATGAAATTTTTTTAACCTTTAAACTTTTTTTAGAAAATGTTGCTAAAGCGTTGATTTAAGTCCTCAAACTTCCAAAAAACCTTATGGTAAAGAAGATAATTATAGCACAAAAAGCATTTTATGTTAAGATTTAAAAGGCCCTTTAGTAAAATGAAAAAAAATTTTCACAATTTTTGATTTTTGTTAATTTTGTGTACTACTTTTCATTTTTGATAACAGTAGTTACTCTGAAAAGCCAAAGATTTTTGTTAAAATGCATAATTGCTTAAGCTTTAACAGCTAAGAACAAAAGCTTTACCCATTTTTGACCCTATAACTAATGGTATATGTAGTTGAATACCTTTCTGACTCACCCTGTATATGTGGTGTAATATTTAATTTATTTATAAAAACAATTCTATGCAACATTTGTTAATATATTGCATGTATAAATGAATTCTCTAATCTTTATTCCATTAGATTTGAATATATGATTTGAAAAAACACAAGCGAATAAACAATTTAAAAATTTATAATTACGAATACAAGATGTAAATGATACCATATATAAAAAATAAAAATTTAAATCACATAAAACCCAGCAATCGTCTATTGTAAAGTCTTTAAATATAAAGCTATAGAAACAATATTTTTATTTTACATATTATTATACACACACTACAACTTTCAATTATTGGAAAAACATTTTCCTTTTTGAATTTCAATTACAGTTTGAACAATTAGCTTTTACGTGGATGGAAAGACAAAAATTAGGTGGCAGTTATTCATCCCATAGAGCACAAAGTGAAAAACATGTTGTTGTATGTTCAACAACATTACATGCGGATACAATAATGGACTTTTTAAATGAATTCTATGCACATCCGCTCTTACAAGACTATTATGTTGTTTTATTAAGTCCTATGGAATTGGATACAACAATGCGAATGATATTGCAAGTTCCTATATGGGCACAAAGAGTAATATATATTCAGGTGAGTTATTGTATTCTTTTATTTTCACAAAATATTAACAGAGTGTACAACAACAAAATATAAATGCATTTTTTGAAAGTAACCAATTGTAGACACTCTAAAAATATCCAATTCCTTCAAACGTTTCTTAAATAGCTTTTAAATTTCAAAAATTTTTAAAAATTAAGAAAAAAATAAAAAAAACTTTAATTTTATTTTCCTTATAACTGAAGGGATCCTGTTTAAAAGATGGTGATTTAGCTAGAGCTAGAATGAATGAAGCTGAAGCATGTTTTATTTTAGCAGCACGTAATTATGCCGATAAGACTGCAGCTGATGAGCATACAATATTAAGATCATGGGCTGTTAAAGATTTTGCTCCTAATGTTCCACAATATGTTCAAATATTTAGACCGGAACATAAATTACATGTTAAATTTGCTGAGCATGTTGTATGTGAAGATGAATTTAAATATGCTTTGCTTGCCAATAATTGTACATGTCCTGGTGCTAGTACACTTGTTACATTATTATTGCACACATCAAGGGGCCAGTAAGTAAAATTTGTATATTTTTTTATGTCAATGTATACAAAACAAGAATAATACATGCATGTATGTATGTAGTAATTTTATTTCTGATTTTATATAATAAATTCTTTCTTTCTTTATTTACTACACATTCATATATAGGGAAGGACAACAATCCCCAGAAGAATGGCATCGACTTTATGGAAAATGTTCTGGAAATGAAATATATCATATAGTTTTAGGTGATAGTAGATTTTTTGGTGAATATGAAGGAAAAAGTTTTACGTATGCTAGTTTTCATTCTCATAGAAAGTAAGTATCATTAAAAAAAAAAAACAAAAAAAAAATTTTTTTTAAAAATTTAAAGAAATTCTAGTGAATTTTTTATTGGAAAAATTCTAAAAATTTGGAAATTGATTTTTTAGTTTTCAAATTTCTAGAAAGTTTTCAGTTTTTTTAGAAAGGATTATCCAAAGTTAAACTATGTACTGAGATTTCAACTTTTTGATTTTAAAATTTCATACGTCTGATTAAATATATGCATTATATTCAGTGCTGGAAATCATATAGTTTGAAATTTAGACGTTGGGATTTGTGTTGGAATAATAATTTTAATGCCGAATAAAATATGTGTAAAGTATTGAAGCATGATACAATTGTTATAGCATATTTCTATAAGGAGAAAAAATGTTATAACATTGGTCAAATTAAGCAGTTAGCGGAGTTTTTGAAATAAAAACACTTCAGATTAAACCAATTCCTCTTTATAGAAATTTATTTAAATAAATAGCTTCAAAGAAACGAACAGCTTAAAATTGGAAATTTTCTTTATTTTTTGAAAAATATTGGAAGGGACAAAATAAAAAAAAACAGGAAAATAATAGTTAACTTTTTAAAATTAAGGCGATTTCGCCAATTTCTGCTAATACTAACAGATAGAAGAACAAATCTGCTATGTATTTAGAGAACTTTTAAATTAATATACGCATGACTGAAGAAGCTGCGCGAGTTCCTTGGAAATATATTGAATATAACGTTCGTATAATCAATATATGTTCAATAATATCATATGCTCAAAAATATATTCCTAAATTTCGAATTTATTTCTAGAGTATAGTTATTTGCAACAGTTCTATTTAAGTTAAGAGCCTAGGTGCTCCGATTAACAGAAAAAGGTGCCCGTATCCTTTTACTGTTTTACTCAAACAAGATTATTTATGGAGAAATAAATAAAATGTACAATAACTAAACACAGCCCTATTTAAGAATTTCTTCCAACACCCATATAGTTTCAAACTAAGGCTTATTTTGTAAAAATACATAGCTTTTATAACTTAAAAGGTACAGGATTTCTAAAATGTTGACAGTATTTTGGAAAACGCAAGTACTAAATTCAAATTAAATAAATTTCTATAATAATAAATTGTAATGCAATAGCTAAAAAAATTTATATTTCCGGAAATGTTCTGATTTTTAATATTATGTCACATATGAATAAGAATTGAATATTAAATTGTTTCCCGATGATAATTCACAAGCATTGTTTCTAAAAGTTATAAATAATTTCAATGTTACTATTGAAAATTTGCATATAAATTTGGGTTTGTCACATTCATTAATATTTCAGAGCTCCTCTTGTTCTTTTTATTACAAAAACCCGTTAAAATTTATTGATTTCTATACTAAATAAAAGAATTAGAGGGAGAAAATAACAAGGTCATTTAAACTCTGTTTTTTCCATTTTTAAATTCTAATTATCCCCAATCCTTTATCATTTTTCCACATAAATCATGCTAATATTTTTGTATGCAATTCATTTCGAACTCATCTCTTATTTTGTCATAACAAAAATTTCAAGGACATGGAAAATCTAATTGTAAATTTTTATTTACATTTAAAAAAAAATGATTAATCCAATTTTATATTAATTTTAAAATTTTGTAATTCTATATAAACATATTTTTATGTACACATATACATAAATCTTACTTAGATTATATAGAGAATTTTATAATTTTGGAGATCAGTCTCAAAATTTAAGAAGTTAATCCCCGTGGATTTAGATTGTATAAAATGCAAATTTTCAAACTTTGTTTCAGTAGTATTCTTTCCTGTTATTAAATTTTATGCTTATAATTATTAATTTTTTAATTTATAAATCATGACAGAACGGAACACTCTTAAATACAAAGTAATTCCCAGAAGTTCATTTTCATATTTTAATTCTATAATTGGATAATATTTCAAAAAAATTTTAATTTGAAAAAATGGTTATTTTAAATTAAAATTTTTGATTGTGTCATAAAAGCAACGAAATAACTTTCTGAATATTTTATTAGTTTATATACGAAAAGAAAAAAAATATAAATTCACATTTATTACCATTACTTGCATTGCATTTCCATAACTCTAAATTGTATGCTTTGATATTTCGAAAATAAGAATAGCTATTTACTCATAATTCTAAAATGAAAATATGAAAAATGTACAAATTATTTAAAAAAAAAAGAAGAAACTTTTAATTAAAATTGAATTGTTCCTAACATTTTTTCAGAGGATAAGTTTAATGGTTAAAATTCTCTTGGTATTTAGATTTAAATGCTTCTTAGAACATAAAAAAATTTGTTGAAACAATTTATTTTTATAAATTTTCGAAACAAATTTTGTACAACTTTTGACATAGAAACTAAAATAGAAAATTAAATTTAAAATTAATTTTTATAGTTAAAATTAAATTAATTGTAATAAAATATTTTTCATATGAACTGCTTAAAAAAGTTCTTCGCTTAGGGTTATTATAGAGTTTAAAATAAAATCTTCTATTTATAGTACACACGTGCAGTAATTATTCCGTCACGATGAGTTGATGCAAAAGTTTTTAAGTGTTATTATTCAGAGATTTCATACGAAATGTATGATTTTAAAAAATTGTAATGATTTGCTTTTATATCAACCTTTCTTCCGGTAAAACTATTCCGATGATTCGATAAATACTTTAAATTTATTTATTGTAGAAATCAATTTGTTTTTGTAAAAATTGTAATACATGAAATTTCCAATTATTTTTTACCAATTATAGATATGGTGTAGCATTAGTTGGTGTTAGACCAGCTGAATTACCAGAATTTTATGAAGACACAATATTATTAAATCCGGGGCCACGTCATATCATGAAAAAAGATGATACATGCTATTATATGAGTATAACAAAAGAAGAGAATTCTGCATTTGTCGTTAATCAAAATCAGAATTCAAGTACGGAACCGACAAAGGATGGTAGTAAGTATTTTTTTCAAATTATAAAGTAAAAAAACAAAAAATATTTTTAACTTAAAATCATATTAATATAAAAAAAAACTGAAAATAAAAGAAAAATAAGAAAAACTTATTGTATAATTTAGAAATTTTTTTTTATTTTGTGAAGAAGAAAAAATCCTTAGAATTATTATTATTGTTCCACAAAACCTTTTACATTCAAATTTTAAATACAAAATTTAATAAAATTATTTAAAGATCACATAAAAAATCGCCGGAATATAAAATAATTTTAGGTATTAAAATAATTTTTATTATTTTATAGTATTATTTATTTATTTATTTTTAACAAATTACCCATATCCTATCGTTATCTAATTTTGTTCTACAGCATCATATTAAAGTAATTATTATGGAATTGAAAATAAGAAGTAAAAATTAAAATTTACATGGATTCCAAAGAGAGAAATGTGAAATTTTTGAACTTTTATTAATTTATATTCAGCACTATAATCGCTTCTTTAAAACCATTATTATCAAATGAACCAGATATTCAAGTAACATCATCAAATATATTCCTTGAAGTTTTAAAAACTTGCAATAATACTCAGAAGACACGAGAACACCTACTATATTTTTAATGAAAAATATCAATGGTAACAAAAAATTTCTTAAAATAAAATTATTTATAATTCTCTCTATGACGTTAACAAATTCCTAAGTAAATTTCTAACTATTTTAAATACTTAAAAAAGAAACATTTTGTACCATTATGTGTTCAGTTCTAGAGTTCTTAAAAATCAAATCAAGTATGCGCGTAGTAAAAAATAATACTAATGGCGCAACTTATAAAGTTGTAGAGCAAATCATACAAAATTAAATCGCTACTTGAGAATAACACCGCAACATCTCAAAATTGTTAATATTTTAACTAGGTATGCTGTTCAAAGCGCAAAGTATTTCCTTACATTCTGCCCCAAATTACTCCAAATATAAATAAAATTATCGCTTTTATTAGAAATTTTCTATTTTCAGTTTTCGAATTTTTTTTAGAGTGTATTTCTTGTTAAATTCAATACCATAATTTTTTGCGATATCTGAAAAAATATTTTAATTTAATACCACGACATATTGATATTTTACACGGTTGTCTTAATTGCAGCAACATTTTGATTTATTCCAATTTTATTAACAGAAATTGAGATTTAAACTGCAAAAATTCAAAAGATTGCAATCTTTCACTTATTAAAATAAAATATATTCTTGTTTTATTGTATAAAAGACCGCAAGATTTCGTTTTATTTTTTATAATAGAATAAAAATAAAATATTTTAATATTTAATTGTCCATATAAACATAGCGTAACTTTGAACTCAATTTACTCGCAACTATATAAAAATTTAGAGATGTTGCAGTATTATTCTTAAGGTGCGAAATAGTTTTTTCATTAAAATTAATAATTTTTAATTATGGAATTTAATTTTTGCCTCAAAAAATGCTACTTATTCAATCACCAATTTCTTCCAACTAAAAGCGATTTCCATGTTTATAACTTTTTCCGCAAAATTAGTAATTTTTGAATTTCAAGAGTGTACAAAAAGAAATTGTCATTCTCTTTTATTCTCAATCAAACATAAAAGAGAAAAATAATATGTTGTTTTAGAACAAAATAAAATAGAGAGAAGACTGCTGTACGTCATATGGTTTTGTATATTGTCAGCTCTTCTTATTTTCATATCTCTATGGTTATTGTGTTACTTTAATATGATGGTCTGAACTATTTTACATTCTTTAACTCTCTTATCACCGTTGTCATTAAATTTCAATTTTCTCTTTTGGGTTATTGAAATATTACGTTTTTTTTTTCTTAAATTCAATATTATGTCCTTTCAATATTTTTCCATTTTAATTGTTCAATATTAATTTGTTATATTTTAGTTGTTCAGAGTAATAATTATACCATGAAACATAATAATTTTATATTTTATATACATATATTAAATACATATTGTATTTGTTCATGTATGTGTAATTTTATATAAAATAAGCAACAAATACACTTAAACAATCAATATATATAAATGTCTGAATTTCAAGTCAATGTTGAAAAAAGGATTCAAAAAATTTAATCCAAAATTCAAACAAGAAATTTTTTTTTTCTTTGTTTTTCTATTTCCCATTTTTATTTATAAATTTTAATTTTTGTTTTCTTTATTTTTATTTTTTTGCGTCAATCAATTTTAATTTGCTACCACAATTTATTATTTATATGATAATCTGTTTTTATCCTTTTTATGAAAAAAGAAAACAATAACAATATATAAAATATAAACTTCCAAATATATCCTTTTTTTTGTGTTTTCCTCTATATACTCAAAGCATATTCTGAACACATTAAATTTTTCTATTATTTTCTTAAGAATTTTAATTTTATAAATTGCAGGAATACAAAAAAAAAAACAAGAAAAGAATTTTTGTTTTTTAGGCGTATAATAAGAAAATAAGAGAAAAAACAAAGTCACTTAAATGTGGTTTTCTTTTAATCAAAATATGTGAAAGTCCTTTAACTCGAAGTGTTTTTTCTGTTGATCTTTTCTTATTTGCTTTATGTTTCGTGTTGTTGTTTTGTTTCTTGTTTTTTTTTTTGTTATTATTTTGTAAAAGTTTTGAAAATCTACTCATTTTCTTTTTCCTTTTTCAAATTACGAAAAGGACAAAAAGTTTACTTTCTTTCATTCTTTCAATTGTTTGTTGAAATTTGTTTTTTTATTTTGAAATTTTGTTTTCATATTTTTCTTTTCAAAGTTTTCCTATTTGATTTATTTTTTTGGTTTAATTCGTCGAAAAATTTCCATTTTTTTTTTGTTCTTTTTAAAATTTTTAAAATTTGCCTTTCAAAATTTGGAATTTTTCTTCCAATGTTTTTATGTAATTCGAAAATATTTTTTTCTAATTCTAATTATTATTCGAAGTTCTGACTATATTGGTCATTTAATTCTTAAGCAATATTATCTTGAATTTTCTCACGAATCTCACCAAGTCCTATAGATTCAAGAATAAGAAAAATTTTTACAAATATTTGCTAAAGAATTGTTATTGTATTTATGGATTTAATGGATTTAATTCTATAGTGAAATTTAATAAAAAGATTTAGTAATGAAATTTTTGCGATCTGAGTAATTGAAGTGAAAATTTCCCCAGACTAAAATTTTAAAAATTAAATAAATTCCTCACTGAAAAAATCACTTCAATTTTATTATTTTTTTTATAATTTTTTTTTTATTTTTATATAAATAAAATTTTTGTGTTTTAAATGAGCTTAGATGAAATCATGAAAATTATCATATAAGTAGGAGTACAATACTTTAATAAAATTCTAATAAATTTAAATAAATTTAATTTCGTTTTTCTATAAAAATAATTTACACACATGAAATTAAAATTCCAGTAAATATTTCTGCTTAAAACGTTGAAATGATAGCGTTTTGCCATACGTCGGTTCTTAGCAAAAAAATTTCCTCTTTCAAGTTTTGAGAAAATAATTGAAATCTTACACATTACGAAAATTGGATAGTAATAACAATGGGGAATTACATTCAACTAAGAATGTTTTTTTGAGTTCGTCATATTTTGCAATAAATTGTTATGATTTTCTCAAAATTTCCAATAATATTATTAAAATGTCTTGAATACGTTTTTTACATAATTCATTCAATGGGTACGTGAACTCACTTTACATACATATACATATATGTACAAATAAACGTTTGCAATAATAATAATAATAATTTTCTAAGAATGAAATGTGATGACGGTCATTACACAGAATTTTTTTTATTTAAAATTATACACTATTTTTACATTAAGAAAAAAACAATCCATTAAACGAGTATAAAGGTATAGTAAAATTTTGCAATAGATTTCATTTTTCAGATAAAATTATAAAATTTTATTGCCCACCACTTTTCTCTTTTAATTCCAAAAAAACAAAATCAAAAACGTGTCCATATCTACACGAGTATACATTAACTACAGTCAGATGGAAAAATTTTACAAAAACAATGCAATAAAAAATAAGAGAATATAAAAGGTTTCTGATTTCTCTCAAGATTTTATATGGTAGTAAATTGGAGTCTCAATATTCACAATAGTGACGTTTTATACACAGTATTGCTACTGACGTATGTATTTCTATATTTGTTGACGTATTATTATTTTGACGTCAATATACATTCTTCCATATACATACATTTTTTACGTACTTTCGAATGAAATCAATGGCACTAGTTTAAATTTAAAACAAAAAAAATTAATATGAATGTATATAAATAAATTTTATAGTGGTTTTTGAAAATTATAAAGCACATACATAATTTGGTCTTGAACCATTTGTATTATACATACTTTCATCACGCATATTATACGAGTATATATACATGCAAGTAGTGTTTGCATTGTGAGTTGAAATAATGAGGCAATTGCAAAACATATAATCTTCCAAGAATAATTTTTTCATGAAACAATGAGCTTCTTCTACTAATAAAAATTAATATTTTTATTTCTAAATAAAAAAACTAAATATTTTTTAAATGTCATTTTGATAACTGACACTTTTATTATAAAAATAATTTTATTTTCTTTTAAATAAAATTTGATGCTTGTCGTAATCGCAATATTAATCCTTTTTTTTTTCATATTGCAATCTTGCGTAAAAAAAATACAAATTTCTAATCATTATTATTATTAATAAATTATATCAGTGTATATATGTTATACAAAATACCGGAGCTATATTTATTGTTTGAATAGAATGGCAACGTCAGAACTCCCATTGTTATATTTAATCAATATTGTCAATATTAAAAATGAAAAATAAATATGATGTGCCTCGCCTCTTTACAATATTATACTCCTTTTATGTTAAGAATGTGCAGCTCCCCGTTTTTTATTGAAATAAAGGAAAAAAAATAATTAGTACTTTTGTTATTATACATAATACATACATTTGAAATAGGCGATTAAATTGATTACAATTTATATAATCAGTACAATTAAAGTTCAATTAATCCACCTGAACACAACGCTAACGCCTGAAGAGGTTGGAATATTTTCATAGAAAATTATGTTCATGAGGAAAGCGATTCTCATTTACATGATTATTTATTGGAGGATTGTGTTGAAGAGATAGTTGTGGATAATGGTTTCATACTTTGTAACATCATATAGTGTGTGAAGAGACAAAAAATTACTTTCGTTCTATCACTTTTGTTCTATAACGTTAAAAAATTAAATTTTGAAAACTTCGAAGGGCTCTCAAGCCATTGAAGCTGCAAACCGATTAAAATTAATAATTACGATAAATACATAATAAATGAAATATTTACTGGAAATTAATGAACCATAATAGTTAGAGAATAAATAAAATACCTGTATTTAAATAATCTACAATAAAATAAATTCATACCCTAAGCAATCCTTAACTTAGTTTTTGTTTAATTTAACTTAGGTAATATGCAATTCACCCTTATTTTTAGTTACTAAATAAAATATAAAAAACAATAATCATAAATAAATAAAAAAAACAAAATAACAACAAAACAAATTTTTTTTTTTTAAATATTCTTTATAATTCAAAACTTTTTTTCATTTACTCATTTTTCTTAATATATTTATTTTTATTTTCCTTCTTTTTATATAAATATATATATTTATATATATACATATATATACATATATATATATATATATGATATGCATATTTAAATTACTACAACTACAAAACAAAAATTGAAAAAAAAATATATATATATATAAAACAAAAAAAATTAAAAAAAAAAAAAAAAACAAAAAAAAATATAAAATTTAGTTAGAACAACAATAAACAACAACACCACCACCATGACCACAGTGAATCCACAAATGGCACCAGTGCCGTCTGTATGTGTTCGTGTGCCCCACAGCCCTAGTCCGATAGATTCTGGTCCGGGTACGCCAATCAAAAGAGCACCATCTGACAGTGATTTAACAACATTATTCGTGCGTGAGTGTGCCACCCGACATTAAAAAAAAAAAAAAAATTAAAAAAAAAATTCCAAAAAAAAAAAAATTATAATTTTCAAAATTCTTTTATTCTAGTTTCGTTTTTTTTTTTTTGTGTTAAACAAAAATTATTGTTGAAATTGAAAAAAAAAAACATGTTTTTATTTCTATTTTCGTTGTTGAAAATTGGAGAAAATTCGAATATTTTGTGATTTTCTTTAAATATAAAAAAAAAAAAATCTAAATTAAATTAAAAATCATAACTGGTTTTTTATGCTTTGAACGCTTTTAAAAAAAAATTTAATGTTTTTTCTCTCTCTCTGATTGCATTTTTGTTCTTAAAATAATTTTACTGTTATTTGTTTAATTTTTTTTTCTCTCTCTTTTTAATAATATTATGGAATGTTCTCTTTTCTATTATTTTAATAGTGAGATTTTATCAAAAAATATTTAAGTAAATGAAAAAAGAATTTTAAATTTAATTTCGGATCAAAATTATTGCATAACATTGGGCGAACTAAATTTAAAAAGCCCTTTAAAAAGAGGGAATGTTTGTGATTAAATTAATAATATTTTAAAGTATATATGTTGATTTGGCCTGGTAACAATATATTTAAAATTATTCTGATTTTCTTTTCACATATTTGAAAAACATTAGAAAATATCAGAGAATGGAAAAAGAAATCAGCCAACAAATTATACTTGAAATATAATTTTATAAAATTTTCATTCAAATTTCATCCTGATTACAAAATCCGGGAATTTGATATTGTTCAAAGAAGAACGGAGATGTAAAATACTAAAAATAACAGAAATAATCTTGCTGACTTCTGTATTCAATAGCAACCCTAGAAAAACGAAACTTCTTAAGAGACATTTCAAAATCAAAATATTCAAATTTTTCTCTGAAACTTGAGTATGCATCTTAGAAACAGAAAAGACATTACGTTCTCTGTCTACGGCTACCTTTACAATTATACAATAAATGTACTCTTTTAAATTTTCTTTTTATTTTGATCTGAAAAAAAAACTAATAAAATTCTTTTTTCTACTTTTTTTTTACAATGTTGTGAAGCTTTTCTTTTTTTAATGTCTAAAATTTAATTCAAAATATATTGGTATTTATTTTCTCATTTTTCTTTTCCATATAAGCAAGAAAAGAGTCATTAAAAATTCGTTTTTCAAAATGATTTACAAAATAAACAAAAACAAAAAATAAAAGTATAGAAGCCAAAAAACCAATAAAAAAAGCAAATATCTTTTTCTAATATCTTTGTCAAATCTCTAATAATAAAATAAAATGGGAACCATCATTATATAACATAAAAAAATAAATATAACAGAAAAGATAAGAAGAGATTTTTTTTCTATTTTTTAAATCATGTCAAGACCAGAATTTCATTATGTAAATTTATTTTTTTTCTATTTTCTATTCTAATAATTAAAATTTTTAAATTTAAAATACATTATTCAATCGTTTATACATATAAATATATATAATAAATTATCCATATTATTTTATAGTTAAGTACATATTATGAGTATATCGAAAGCATGAATTTTTGTAATATTCTCTTAAAATTATGATTGTATATAAATAATATTATATAATTTTTTTTTGAAATTTTGTAAATATTTTAAAATATTTTAATAACACATTCAGAAATTGCATGAAATGTTCAATATTTTATATTATTCTTAAACAATAAATTCTTAAATATTTTTAAATTTTTAACTAAATACATAAATTTTATAATATTTAAAATTTTTATATATATATTATAGTATTTTATTCTTGAGGTCATTATACTCGTAAGATATTGTATAATAAAAAATTTTTGTTATATAAATTATACACGGAAATATTCCTGCCCTCATTACGTCATAATTTATCGCTTTATTTCATTTTTTTTTCTTTAATTTTTTCATTTTCATTTCCGTTTTCATGAACTGCATGAACATTTATAATAACATTTTATGTACTATAATACTATAAATTTTATATTAATTTATATTAATATTATTCTATAATTTGCTTGCCCTAATAACCATTATATGCGTATTATTAAATTCTATAGAAAAAATAATTCAGTTATCATAATTTTAAATATTAAATTCAAAAAATCCTTATTTTAAATAGTTAATTCTTAAATGATATTTTTTAAACTAGAATAGTACGAGTACTCGTAAAATATTCAATTTAAATATCAACTAAATAATTTCTTTTCCACTAAAGCAATAATTGTCTAATGATATACTCTTTCTATATTTAAATAAAGTAGAAAATTCCTCTAACAATAAAAAAGAATATTTTAAATAAACGAAAATCTAATCGAAATTGCATATCTTAACTTCAAAAAAAATACTTGTTTTCGAGCTACAGCGTGTTGAAAGAAAAAGGTACCAGATTTCTCCTGCATATAAATAAATGTTTGTAATTTTGAAACCATGCAACATAAAAAGTAAAAATTGGAGACGATTTATTGCTCTTTATTTCCGATTTTGCAATCAATTTTATTTAAGCCATAGTTTCAGAAATAAAGCTCGTCAAATTTTTTTTTTTTGTACTTTTTAAAAACTCGAAATTTTTCGAAAATTTGATGTAATTTTTTTTTCAATGCGCTACAATAAATGCTATAAGTTTACCGATAATTTTCTTTATAAAACATACCTTCTATCTCTCATAGCTTTGCCAGTAAAAAGCGTTAACTGTGTTAAAAAAACATGCGAAAAGTGCAAATTTCATACATTTACATCTAAAGCCCCCCCCCCCCCCGCCGTACAAGTTTTTTGTTGAAACTGATGAAAGAATTGTGCCTGAAATTATATGCTATAAGGTGGCAACACCCTAAATAAAATAAACTTTTTCCAATTTTTGCTTTTGTAATTCGGAAACTACTACGATCAGCGATCCGGTGTTGTACACAAATTATATAAAAAATAAACATTTACAAAAAAACATTTTTCATATACCCAATCAAAATTCATAAAAACGCAATGAAACATTAAAATTTTCATTGATCTTATTCATTTTAAAACTCATACATCCCTTATAGATGATCTCAACCATATTGCTACTAAATTTTTTAAATCAAATCATAAAGTCACAATTGGTTTGGATGCTCAAATCAAAATTTTAAAGTTTCCCACTTTATTTTTCACTTAAAATTTAAGTGTAATTTTCATGTATTCGAAAATTTCATAAAATTAATTTCACAATAATTGTCATTTCATATCTTACAACTTTACATGTTTATATTATCGTAAATTTTATCGTAAATTTTCCTATATATTTCGTACAAAATGTTAATGTTTTTTTATTTTGTTTAATTTAATTATTGAACTTCTGTGCTTAAAATTCTTATAATTTTTTTTGTTATTTTAATGAAAGAAAATTTTTAAACAATCTGGCAATAAAATAGTGAGAAATATTTTATAAGTGGCACACATTATGTATATACATACTATAATATTTTTTCCACACATATCTAGCTAGAACAATATTTTTAAGATATGCAATAAATTTAATATTTTTTTATAATAACAAAAAAAAAATTAATTTATGGGCTGCCATCGTTATTTCATATTAAAAAACTTAAGATAATCTAAATCCTTAACACTATACCCTGTTACTTTTTCAATTAGTTCCTACACTTTTCATATATAATTTAACTTTAGACCCTTAATAATATTTAAAATATTGAATATTTTTATATTTTAATTTTTACATTTTTAAAAATCATACACGAATGTTCTTATATAAGTAGAGATGAATTAGTAATAATGAAATCTTCTTAGCACAATCTACAAGATTACAAGATTCATCATCTACATAGTCTTCAATTTTATATCTTTGAATATTTATTTTAATTTGATCCCATACTTACTTACCTTTTTATGTTATGACAACCCTTTCATATTATAACTTCTTATGTTAAAATTTTCATAACTGAAAAATTAGATGACAAAATTTTAAATTTTTATTAAAACTGTATATATATATATATATATATATATATATATATATATATATATATATATATACATACATAATAATATGCATAAGTGAACTTAAGAAATCTTCCTTTATAAATTAAAATTTGAAATTTTCCTTTCAAAAGTGCCTTTTGACATTCATATTATTATTTCAATTTCTTTGAATAATTTCCAGTATAGCAAAACAACAATTTGAATTCAAATAATTTTTCATTGTAGACTTTCTTTTCTAAATTTTTTTTGTTATTCTTACATTTATTTTACTATTTAGTACAATAAATGTCGCCATATACTGAAATTTTGAAATCTACTTAAAATTATGTAAATCCTTTTCTTGCACAATTTTACTATTTTTACTCTTTCTTCCTTTACAAGAAACTTGAAAAGGAAAACAAAATTACATACAATAAATTCAAGTTTCTTGTATTTTTTACAGCAGTCGTCTTGGTTGCAATAAGATTAACAATCATTTTACCCTGTATTACAAAAATGATAGAGAAGAATTTGATTATGATGAGTCTATCATTATGATGAAAGTAACTAGTTAGCTAAAGAATAATAACTGGTATTGTTATAATACTTTTTTGTATATATTGTAGAAAGGATTGGGAAATATATAAAGAAAAAATTGTAGAAAAGTGCACAAAAAAAACTTTCTTATATTTTAATAAAATCAAGACTAAGCGCAACTTTTTTGTGAAAATTCATTGGTCTGCGACAATTTGTACAATTAAAATTTGCTAATTAAAATAAATAATTTTATAAAATTCATAAAATGTCGCTTATATGGTTTATACTCGGTTTAGTATTCACATATGCTTACTTCCGTTTATTTCTACAGTTTGAAACATGAACTAGATCCCTAAGAAATGAACTTTAAGGAACTTTATGAGTGTTAAAAAATTGAAGAGTTAAAAAATAAAATTTAAGTAGCATTTAATTGTAAAACTTTTTTTGCATATATCGCGGCGCATCTTAAATTTTTCTTAATTCTCTTACTTTTAC